ACTAAATGGCACTTTAAATGGTCGTGGAACCTTTTTATGCGTATAACGCATCTAAAAAAAGACGTTTTCGGTGTTAGAATAAAGAAATAAATCAAGTGAACTTACAACTATGAGCGTAATATGTACGAAAATATATGTAATTAGAGAGCCAATAGAAGTTACTTCACCAAGAATATTAATTGGACAAATACCTGAAAACACAGAACAACATATGCCTAAAAAGTGGACACAATATTTATTCTACAAATCGTATAAAAAAATAATAACCGATTATTAGTATAGACACCCATGGAGTTCGCCACTGAGGATGAAATGTAGCAAAAAATGGTGGAAGTAAACCATCACGAGCCATCGCATAAAATATGCGAGTCTGTGGAAGCATCCCAATCAATGCTGCACTCGTAAGAGCAGCAATCGCACCTAAATTCATAAGAATTGATAACCAACGACCATAAGGTGTTGCTTTTCTATAAAAATTACAAAAAGTACCACCGATATTCTCTAACAGATGACTAATGGCTTACATTGCTTCAGAAATAGGACTGTCTGAATTTAATAACTGGTATGGAACGAGTCCTACCATAACAGTACATATTCCAATATAAAGTAGTAGGGAAACAATTGTTGACCCTATAATGGCAATTGGGAGTGATTTCGTTGGTGATTTTGCTTCTTGTGCTGCTGTGGAAACCGCATCAAATCCAACATACGAAAAAAACACATAATCACATGCTTGCAGCATACCTGTTACTCCATATTCACTAAACGAACCTAAGAGAAAAAACGAAATTCATTTATTTCCTAGATATGTCAATAACACAAGCATTCACCTTTATTTGGTGGAAAAAATGGATGATAATTGTTTCTATTAACATAATTACAACCGGCAAAGATGAATATTAAAATTATAATAACTTTAATCACAACCAATACGGCATTAACTATACCCGTTAGGCGAATCCCAATCATAAGTAGAACTGTAATTGCAATAGTAATTGCAATAGCAGGTAAATTAATTGCTTGACCAGTGACAAAAAAGTTTTCTCCATCTTTGTCCCAAGCCACTGGTGCTTGGACAATCATGCTTGTTATATTATAATCAGATACCATGTTGACCAATAGGACAACATGCTTGCTCCAAGCAACTGCCAACGTCAAAACGGTGAATAGATAAAGTAATGCAGAATTCCACCCAATGAAAAATGCCAAATATTCTACAATAAATAAAAACCTAGTTTCCAACAGTGATACTTTTGATTGTTTACCTCCCAAGCCTACAACAGAAAAAGAAAGTGTTCATGAAAGTAAAATACGCATACAATTCGTATACTCACCTACATGAATCCAAGTGTAAGCTGACCCACAACTAGGCATCATTGTCCCTAATTCTGAAAATGATAAAGACGCCAATAAAGCAATAACACCTGCTACAACAAATGAAATGATGACCGATGGACCAGCATATTGTGCAGCAGCTTGCCCACTTAATACAAAAATTCCAAAACCTGAAAACAAGATTCAAAACTCTTATGGTACCAATTATTATCAAACCAACTCACCAACAGTCGCCCCCACACCTAACAATAGCAAAACACCACAATTTAGTATAGGTTCAAATGCTGGTTTTGTCTGAAGCTCATAATTTAAGCTTTCCCACGGTTTACGCGTAATCAATTGTTGGAAGAACACTGTAAACCAAGACATTTCCACAAATGTATCAGTATGTATTACTTATTTATATGCTTCTAATGCTAATACACAATATAGATGACTATATATATGATGGTTAATAAAGGCCTATGTTGGAAAAAACCAAGCAAATAAAAATAATCCAATGAATCAATCGCTCGTAAAACACGCCACTTAGTTGGGAAAACAAACAACGCAAAATCGATAATCAAAGTATACAATAAAAATCACATTTTTATCGATCGTCCTTTTTTTTTTTCCTTCCTCTATCAAGCCTCGATGGCCTATGCTCCTCAATATAGCGATGAGTAAATAACGAAAAAGTATTTTATCTGTGTCATTTTATTATATAGACACAATTTTTATTGGAAATTACCAATTTTAATACTTTGTTTTGTCAATCAGTATTAATGAAGCGTAATTTATTTGATCATGTACGTCATTTTTTTTACGATGAGAGTCTCTTATTTTCGAATGATTTCGTTCGTTTCTAGATGTTAATTACTCTTCTGTCTACAAAGTAATGAATAATCATTCTTCTCATTAGATAAACATATTCACAATATGATGTAATATCACAACAAACAAACAAAACATTAAATGTGCAGAAGTTGCTCTTTATTTTCTTCGAGTTTTCTTCAATAGACTATGGGCTATTGAAAACAAATTTTGAAAAGCATTTTCAATTTATTTCTAATACAAAATATCTGACAAAGAAAAAGAAATAAATTAATATGGATCACAGAAAGACGAAAAAATATTATAATCAACCAAGATCGACATAGAATTTAAGTTTCAGAGATGTTCAGATGTACAATAAATTCAAAAAAACATTTTAATTCATACTCATTGTCAAATTGAATATATTGTTGTAAAATTGATTTGTATGAATCAAATAGTTCCATGACTATTTTCGAATTGGATATAATTTCTTGAACACTTTTATAGTCTCATTTTGGTTGTTAATCCATTCGATTGATTTAAACCAAAGATAACATCGCATAAAACATGTCTAAAATGGAACAAAAGAAAAATAATTAAAAGGAAAAGATAGTATGATTAACGCGATACTGTGATGCTTTATAAATCATTTATTGACCTGTAACGAAACTAATGTCAAGTTAATATGAACGATATAGAAAACTGAAATCAATAAAGACTAAACAGTATGCATAACAATTCTTCATTCTATGTAGCTAGAAAAAATGAAGAAACTTACTGAAAAAAGTCAAAACAAGAAACATTCCTATTCGGTACCCATCAACTGAAATCATTAAACTGATAATAATCAAAGATCTGTTGCATTTATTCACACGACTGATATTGCAAACTCTATATGAACCTAATATTAGTTAAGTCATTACATAGATCCCCTTGTAATCTTCTCCAAAAGTATTTATTCTGATTTTTACAAAAAAAAAAGAAACAAAATCTCTGGGTAATTTTCGATGTTAAATGTCGTGTTTTTTCACCTGATTTTTGAAAGAACAGTTTGGTACATCATTGTTCCTTTAATATAAAGGATTAATCTTAAGTTCTTTTATGAGATATACATTTTAATAAAATAGAAAAAATTATTTATAAGACTTCGATGATAAACAACTTATATGACAGAATATCTATTTATTATAATGTTTAGAAAAGTATAAAAAAAATTATCGCAACGATAAGTGAGTTGCTCATATGAATAGATTAGAGCTTCGAGTATTTCTTAATAATCATAATGTTCTATTGACTATAATGAATTTTGCATCGACAGAAAAAAACAACATACACATATGTAGTAATCAATTATTTTCATATTATAATCTTATCTTAATAAAAAAAGAAAAAAAAGAATATTTTATTCTATAAATATTATGATCAAATTCATCATAACAATGATAAATAAAGAATATAAGTAATATTGTAACTATTTGATAACCATAATTATAAGAATGATGTTTATTACTAAACAAACAATTCTTTATACAATTACCGTACATAAATTTTACTGTGACAATGAACCTTGTATGCTATACTAATTCATTATAACAAACTATATAGTCATTTCAACCAGTTGTTAGATTCTAGTAGATATAAAAACAAGAAAAGAAATATCATTTCTCTTAAAACCGACAAACATACAAATTCTTGTACTAGTTGTAGTCGATTGATTACGTTAAAGTTTATTATTCGATTAGTATGTAATATAATAGGATTTTTTAAAATTCTTTTATTGATGTCTAATAACTTATTGATGTATTCATTCATGTACTTGTTTTACTGATGATCTCAATACTTGTAATCATCAGATAAGGGTCGTTACCAATCAATTCAAGGTTTTAGATACAGGATTCACGAAATTGATGGGGTGAAATGAGGAATGCAACCAGGCAAATGCAACTCGATGAACTCTATGAAGTGCTGCACTCAGGTTTTTTTTCAATGAAAGCTTTTCTGTGACTATGTACTACACTACTTAAACCACTAATGAAACAGCTCGATGGATGCAGATCTATCAAATAGTGTATGTTTCTTTCTGGTGAAGACAAAACTTCGTGATTCTTAGTTCTATAAATTTCAATGTGAAATATTTTACTTTTAAGACTTGTCAAACCGGCATACGCTTTCAGAAACCGTTAGATATGAAATGAAAATCGAAAGTCGCACTCACATTATTCAGTAGATGTTCAGTTTTTTGGTTTTGCACTCACAAAGAAAATATTTTCGAAAAACGAAAACCGATCACGATGCAGAAAAATAAATCCATTATCAAATAAACATAGAAACAGATTTTAAAAGCACCTTTAAGGTGCCTTAAAGAAAGAAGTAAAAACAGCTTGTTTATTATAGGTCACGCGATTGTTCTACATGATCTATGGTCAATTCATGGGAACCTTTAACAAAAACCTCACTAATTTAAGTTTGCAAGTAAACTAACATCAAAGCGCACACATCCAATAAAAGAATTATACTTAGGACATACCAAAAGTATCGAGATTGATAGTATATTAAAGTACAACTAGAAAAGCTGAAGAACAAATTCTGGCCATATAGATATATGTAGTTCTCAGAGTGCTCTACATGTTTGTATATAATAGTAAGATCAGTTAAGTAACATTACCATATAAAAAATTTCAATGAAAACTATCCATTATTGTTTTTAGATGAATAAGAAAAAAAATTTCGTTTCTACATCAAAGTGTGTATTTTACTTAACGTTTAACCGAAATCAATTGATGACAGATTATACTCTTTTCGTTGAACAAGTTCCATCTTATTATATAGTTGCCAAGTGGTCAAAATGATTTCGAGCAGGGCGAGAAGATATGAGAGATCAACCACGACTTAGTCGACCTTCAACTAAGAAAACATCTGAAAATATTGAAGAATTTCGTTGCCTCATTCATGATGATTCTTATCTTACGATTAATGAAACACAACTGGAGACTGGTATGAGCCGTGATACCATTGTACGAGTTATTTCTGATCGTCTGCGGTTAAAAAAAGTTACAGCTTGCTCGGTACCCAACATACTGATTAATTCTCAACAAGCTGAACGGATTCGGCTTGGTCAAGAAAATTTGGCAAACTTACATTAAAGAACATGACGATAATGCGATGTAGTGACAGATAATTATTCATGGTTTTCTCATAAATAAATTGGTCGAAAGTCATCGAATGCTGCCAGGACACAGATCAGAGGAACTCCACCTACTATGGTTCGACGCAACCGCTTTGCTTCATACATTTTAATTTGCATAGTTTTCAAAATGACTGATTCAGTTGCAATTCATCATGTTAATCAAGAGAAGACCATAGGTCATCATTATAGCATTGATAATTGCTTGAAACATCTTATTGAAGAAATGCAAAATGAAAGATCAACATCTTGCACGCATGTCGTAAAACTCCCTCATGACAATGCAACACAATATATATGTATAAAAGTCTTTCAAATTATCTCGAATCGGAAGATATGAAAATTATTCGACAACTGTCTAGTTCTTCAGACCTTGTGGCATGCAGTTTTCGGCTATTCGATCTGTTGAAATAGAATTTGACTGACCAAAACAACTTACAATCCTGGTACCATGCCACAACCAAGATCATGAATTCGATCAAGAAAGACGAATGTAAAAACATTTTGGATGAAAGGCTAGAACGAATACATTTGTGTTTAAATACTCAGGGTAACTAATTTGAACATTTGATCAAGTAAAATCTAAAATAACTTGCTTTTATATTGTTTTTCTTGAAAATCTCGTTACTTTTGCTATGTCCTAAAATAATTCAGTCCTATACAATAATGAATCTGTTCTTGTTTTTTTTACATTTGAAGTTGTGTCATATGGTATTATTCATCTATATGATACAATCAAAGCTGATTTCGAATTTTATCAATTAGATGATTTAAGTTCGTATGATGTATCAGTTGTATTTTAACAGTACTTTTGCGTATTACTTGAATGTTTAGGGTGAGTATGGATAAATATGGGTTTACCTGATTTCTCGGCCCACACGCTCATCCACACCTACATCTTTCTGTCACATAGTTGGTTAACTGTGCACAAAAGTAGTACTGAAACACCAATAAAAAAAATAGGTAAAATGGCGCATAAGTTACTAACTACGCAAAATCAATTCTTACTCTTTTCATTTTTTAAGAGAACAGAAAAAATGTGTATACTTCTTGTTTGTTTGGACAATTGATCAAGCAAAAATGATGCAAATGTTAACACTTGTATTTCAGTGCCTTCATACTCCGTTCTAAAGGTTTGTAGTACCTGTTTTTCTTATTTCACTCTACTGATTAAACGAACAAGTTGTAGCTCAAACGACAGAACTGCCTAATTATTCATGTTCTGAGAGTGATTCCATCGTCAACTTTACATTCTCCTATTCATCTCATTCTGCATGGCAACCAGCATCAAATTGCTCTTTGCTCCAATGCAGTATGAATGCAAGCAGCGACAACAATTGTCGCTCATCGTGAACAACTTGTTTTGAATATCGTGCACTTAATAATTATAGTTACTGTGCTCCTGGTATTCTTTATTCGGTTCTGGAATCATGTAATAATATTGACAACTATTGTTCATTGAATACTTCTGTGTGCGCTATCAATTCATGTTGTGCACCACAAGCAGTATGTTTACCGCTGGCATGGACAAGCTTCTGCAAATCAGGTAATGATTCGCTCTGAATTGATACATGAATTGTTAGAAACCCATCTTTTTGTTTCAAACGAGTAGAATCATAACTTTAGACTGAAAGTGGACGAAAATGATTTATCTTGTTGCGAAGAAATGTCCCTCATATCAGAAGATGTGATGCTAAGTTGGACCGAAAACAAAATTTTCAACTGTCACTTAGATCCGTTGATTTTATTTTTCTGTGCTCTAATTATACACGTTTACCATGCTATCAATTAGTATACATGATTTCTTCTTTCTTCAAATTATCTGTGTATTTATCTGTGAACTATCAGTTTTAGTTCAATTAACTGAGTTCAACTCATCAATTTGTATGCTTCGTCAGTTATTGCATGAAAACGTCGTATGACATGACCAAGCAGCGTCAAATGAAAGAAGAACTAATATAAGGTTTAAGGTTTTCAAAAGCGATTAAGTCTTTATCTGAGTGTTTATCACTTCACATTGAATAATACAAAAATGAAAAAAAGAAGTTTTATAACTACTCGATTCAGTGAACTAAATCTAGTTTTTTTTTCAGAATTATTATTTGAAAAAACTTAGAAACGTATTAATTCTTATGAAATGATCGCTAAATGTTGAAAAGAGGTAAAGAGGCACATCCGTGAATTATTATTTTCAGAGTGGCGATGGAAGCAAGTTTTCAGTCAATAGGGAACTGAACTCCGTGTGCATTCTTCTTAAATGTATGTCTAAGGTAGTATAGGTTGATATCTAGAAGTACTGATGAATTTGATCGATGAATAAGATATCATCACTCTTCGTTTCACCTATTGAACTATCTTTCTTTAGTTGAGCAAGTCTAAATTTCTAGATGACGTTCAAATTTTCTAGAGATACCTTGGCTCATCGAAGCTCCTCTATCATGTGTAAATATTAGATTGGTATGTAATATAAATCGACTATATTTAAATTGTTTCTTCAAGGATGGTATACTACAACTAGAATGAATAACAGACGACATGGGCATACAGCATCAGTATTAACAAATGAAAAGGTATTAGTTGTTGGTGGAACTGTTGATGGATATATTACGTTAGATAGTACTGAGTTGTTCGACCCATTAACAGAAACATGGACAGCCACTGGTGGATTGAATGTTGCACGATTTGCACATGCAGCATCTGTATTACCAAACGGGAAAGTTTTAGTTTCAGGTGGATATGCTAGTGGTTCTATAGAAACGAATACTGCAGAATTTATATGATCCATCAACTGGAATTTGGACACTTACTGGTAATATGACCTATGAAAGACATTTTCACAGAGTATCTATTTTAACAAATGGAAAAGCATTAGTTACAGGTGGAAAATATGGTAATTATTTTCTAAATAGCGCTGAATTATATGATCCATCGACAGGAATGTGGAGCCCCACAGGTAGCATGAATGGTTATCGATATTGGCATACAGCATCTGTTTTGAATAATGGCAAAGTATTAGTTGCTGGTGGACATAATAATTGGATAATGCTGAATAGTGCTGAATTATACGATTCATCAACAGGAACATGGACAACCACTGGTAGTATGAACACAGCTTGTGCTGCACACATGGCAATCGTATTGACAAATGGTAAAGTATTAGCTACTGGTGGAAATAATAGCAATGTGTTTCTCAATAGTGCTGAATTGTATGATTCATTGACAGAATCATGGACAACTATTGGCAATATGAATCATTCACGATGCTATCATACAGCATCCATGTTAATTAATGGAAGTGTTAGTTACTGGTGGTTATAATGGTATAGATTCTTTGAGCACTACTGAGCTATATGATCCATCGACAAATATTTGGACGACATTCTTTAGTATAAATAATGCGCGAGAATTTCACACAGCATCCATATTGTCAAATGGAAAACTGTTCGTTACTGGTGGAACAAGTAGCCGTGTGAGTTTGGATAGTGCAGAACTATATTGATTTTCACTAACATTCGAAGAACATATTACCTATTGTTTCATACTAAAAACTGGATAACTGGCACTTGAGTGTGAGAGCAATCAATAAATATCATAATCTCAGTTAAACTTATTCTCATCTTCAAACCTAAGGTTCATAATTCCATTCGAAGTGATCCTTTTTCATACTTATCAGAACCTTGCCCAGGGCTAATTCATTATGAGAGGGAAAAAGCGCCATCCGATCTGTATTTCGTACAACTTCGGTGGATATGAGTGAGGTATGAGTGTAGATGGATTTTGTGGTGGGGAATGTAGATATGGGTATGCACATAGGAAGATGTCGATTTGGTGTGAATGGATCTAGAGTGTCTCTATTCCTTATCTTGGAAGAACTTTGAAAATAAATGAACATTAATAATGTACAGTTATTATATTTGGAAGAATTATTTGAAATATACATACAATGAATATTTTTACTTGATTATGGATAAGAAACTAATGTATTAAAAAACATTTTAAAATGTAATCAAACTGAATTTTCACTACTTATAAATGAACATTTTATTTGTTTCTTTTCTCGATATAATTATAGCATAACAAAATACACACTTTTGATGCATATATTCCGCAAGAAAGAAAATAGATAGTATTTTGACAAAGTGGAGTGACGAAGGAATGAGCGAAGTATTTTCGATGATTCTACCATGGCGATATTCATGTTTTTTGGTAGTGACAAAATATATTTTGAATCTAGATTAAAAGTTGAAATATAAACCTTCAAAAAAAATTTTCTTTGAATTAGTATAATAAATTTGGCGCAGTAAACATGATTGTGATTTATGAAAATAGTAAATCATTAAACTCGATTGAGTTTATTTCATTGATTTTAAATAATGTAATTGATGAAAATTTATTAAAGAAACAAGTCGTTGGCTTCTCATCATTTGCTCTAGTTGTCACATCGATATTAACAATTATTCTTCTTTCTCTATTTATTGAAAAAATTTATCATTGTAAGTGCAAGATTTTTTTGATCAAAATAAACAATTTCATATTTGAAAATGTTAGATCAATGGAAAAAAATTTGATAAACAGTAAAAATAAATGATGAATAAAATTGATTTAATTCTTATATTTATTTTATTGAGTACATCATTATTTATTCATTTATATAAACTGAACGAATTTAATTCAACGATATTCAATGAAGTTTATAAAATACAACATTTATCATTAATCAATCAAAGACGATTTTATTTTGATGTTGAACTATTTTGTAGATTTTAGACAGAATCAACGACAACGAAAACAATAATTAGGTGTTGAATCAACAATTAAGTATTTATAAATTAAGACAATAAATTTCATATCTACTGATACAAACAATCAATGAAGAAAAGATTCTACCATGTATTGGATCCTTTATTCTTACAATCTTGATTATAGCAGACGTATTGTTATATTTGAGAAGTACCAGTATCCATTGGAAACTCATTATTTGTACTTGAGCTTTCAATGTCTTATTCAAAAATAGTTTTCATAGGTCTCTTCTCAAATATTTTATCGGATGGATCAAATATTAACAAAACATGCACATTTGTTAGAATTTACTTCTCAGAAAATTAGAGATCAGTGATCATAGAAACATTCATCATTAAAGAATGAATCCACTTAAAGAGTCAAATCGGCCCAGTTTGTGTTTTCGAATAAAAACTATTTAGTTCTAGCTAAAACATGATCGACAGTTGTTTGGTAATGTTTTCAAGTGAAATGGAAAAGTTCTAAGATCTCTATAGATCAAAAGATACACCCACCACAGCACTTATGAAATGAATATCACGGTTCTTGCTATCAATCGATTGTCCCTTACTTGAAATATTCCTTCATAAAAGAATGTATAGCTTAATATCAATCACATACTATCTGCCAAAATGATATTGCGAACGTCTTGTTAAGTCAATGGAGGAAACAACAAGAAGAATTCTCGAAGTTTGAAATTGTTCAGAAAATATTACATAATGAAGGCCCAAACAATTATATTTACTTTGTTTTTAAAAATAATAGTATGAATAGCAATTTATCACTGCATTTTTTTGTACATACAAATATGTGCCATCCATGACGACAGTAAGTTGATAAATTGAGTTGAGAAGCAATTCAGTAGCTACAGTAGTTTTGTATCATAGCTTTTTTTGACACGATGAATTACATGAGAGACAGTCTACTTCTTATTCACATCGAACATTGAAGCTGAAACACTGTTGCTGACGTCTAGATACCTCTTATACATGAACACTGCCAAAGCTATTCGCACGGGCTATATATAGATATATAATCTTTAGGATCATATGATAAGTTAAAATAGAATAAGCTTCACCAGTGAGACAATTTGGCTCATAAGATTAATAGATGTTTCACATTACCCTTGGAAGAGAAACTAATTTAACCAAAAGTTATACATTGAACCTATTAACAATTATACAGTCTCTTCTATTTTCATTCAGAACATATAAAATTTGAGCTTTTTATACTTTCATTATATTTTTTAAAGTTATAAATAGAATTACAAGTACTAACTAAAATAGTAGTGATCGAATAACTTCGTTACAATATCAAATCTTCATTATCACAAAATGTTCTGTATTCAAATTATATTCCGATACGATAGTTTCAAAAAATTTCCATTCGATTTATCTAATATAGTACGTGTTGATGAAAAGAAAACAGATAATCAATGAGCCGTAAACGTTATTAACTGTTTTCTTTGACAGTGTATAATCTGAAGATTAATTTATACTATAAAATCGAACAACGAATAAAGAGTATTATATAGAAAAAAAAAAGAAGAATGAAGGAGAGAAAAAGGAGCGACGAAACAAAAAGTTGTTTATGCATTACATTATTATTTTTGCATAAGAGAAGCAGCATTCGTGAAGTTCTTCTTCTTCTCAACAAATACAACGAAAACATACATCTTTTTATAGCAAAGCCGACAACTCGATAATACAAGTAAAAAAGAACTAGTATTATTCTGATTTGATTTTTCATTTGCACAAAACTTGAATGGAAATAACTAAAATATCGCAATTACCATACAAAACGATAATTGTCAGTATTGTAATATTGATTCCACTCGTTTTATATTCGTTAACAAACAGTAAGTATTATGTGTTCTTAAATCATTTGTTTTTTCAAATCTCTCTAGTAGAATTAACATTTGTTCTTTGCATTAATTATATTTTTCAACACGAAAAATTGTATTGTAACTGCTGGATAGACGTTACAGGAAGAAAAAAATGATAATAATATTTTATCTGATGTTGTCTAAAATGTACTATTTCTAAACTGTAGAGAAGAGTTTATGTAAGAGATTTTTAACCTGTTATAAATTGATTTAACGAATGAACATTTTTTGAAAGTAATAACAAAATTTTTATAAGTTTTCTTTTTTATAAATTTTATAAGATGAAGTTGCAACTAATGATGATGAAGAGACAACTGTATCTCTTTGTCAAATACGTATTCAATTTGATGGATTAAATGGCTTTGATGATCGAACACTTCTTTCATTATTGGCTACATTAAAAATGCATGATTTCTTCATTGGACAACCTGTATGGGGACCATTGGATACACTTCTTTATCTATGTGAACATCGACTTAAAGTAGGTTTAAAACAATCAATACTTGATAGAGAATTACACAATGTGATAAAGAATGGTCCAGTATCATCTGGACGTCTTGCTTGGTCATGTGCTTGATTGTATTAACATTAGTATATACACATACATATATATATACCTATAGTGTGTTCTTTGAAGAGGAATAAATTTATTAGAAATAAAAGAAGAAATATTTATTTAACTATATCTAGCGCAATAGATTTAGTAGATGTTTATTGATACTGTTTTTTAAAGCTAATAACATTGAGCTTATATCATAATTATGTATACCATGGATCAGAAATCTTTTTCTGTTTATTTTAAAGAATCTACGAACAAAGTTGTGACATTGAAAATGCACAAAAAAAACAAAACATGTTGAATGATCAGTTCAACAATAGAACACAGTTATTTTAAAAGCAAAAATTCCATTCTACCTTGAATCAACGTAATGAAGCCTACTAATGCATTTACTTTTCTTTAAGATTGAAAAAAAACAACATGTTTTTTCGTAAATTTTCAATTGTGAATAATAGTAGATGTAACATACGATAGTTTCGATTTGTGCATATTAATGGATAAAAGTAACGAAAAATGAATATTTCTTTTAAGCAACAAATATTTACACGATTGAATCATAAATGTTTGCTATGGAAAAATATTTTGAAACTAAAAATTTTCGTGTTCACATATTTGACTGAATTCACTCAATTTGATATACTCCAGTCTAAAAATGCTATTGTCATAATGTTTATCTCAGATAGAAGATTTTAATACATTATCTATTAAAGCATAACTATTCGATATAAACTTAGGAAAAGTTTAAGATATTCTTGCTTTCTATTTTATAGAATCATTGAATTTAGATCGTTTATTTTACATATTATATTCAAAGTATATTTTAAAAGTTATTTTTCTTTTAAAGATTAATTGTAGAACAAATAAAAAAAAAGGACAAAGATGAATGTTTAACTCTGAAATGAAACATGTTTAATAATATGTCGTTGTTTTTGTCGATTTGATTTTTCTAAATCTTTTGCTGACAAATCATTCAATGATAATAGACTATCTTCATTATCTTCACTTTTATTGATAAATACATCATCAATATTTTTACGACCTTTTTTTGTATTTTTGCTTAAATTATATTTTAAATCATTAGTAATCATAGATGTT